TATTTTCTTTCTCTAGGATACTACCGTCGGGGGCCCTAATATTCTTTCTTCTATCTTCGCGTTCACCGACTGCGAAAGGTTTTGGTTGTTCGTCCACTTCTGGACTATAGTCCTTTTCAAAAACTTGGTGCTTTATTAATATCCTACACCAAACAGGGGAAATCCTCAGGTCACAGGACAGTCTATTTCAGGGGGTGGTAGATAGACTGCATGCATTCGTGGGACCTAGGCTGCACTCTCTCGCGGGACGTAGGTGGGTTGGGGTTCAGAGCATCAGAGAGCCGGAAAACCCAGTCTTTTCACCCTCGAAAATGTTGGACTGTCCTGTGACGTCATCTGGGGGGTGAGATATTAATAAAGAACCCAGAACTTGAATGTTGCATGTACATCCGTTTTACAGATCTGACTCATGTGTATGCAGACAGTTGGTTTCTTGCCTCTCGGGCAGATGCACTCTGACTTTGAAGAAAGCTCCCAATTAATCGACTCTTGCGACATGCTTTTGGGTAGACAGTGGGTCTATTCTTGTTCTCCCCTCAACGGGACCAGGACCCAACACAAAGAGGGCCTGAAAATAAGACCTCCCCCAGACCCACCCACAACAACCGCGGTGGGGCTTACAAATAAACAACAATTTGCTTCCCCGATTAGAAGGCAAACAAGCTGACGATAGCTAACCTGTTTGGGAAGTTCCACCTTTGTCGCCGTCCACCTGTTTTGATAGAACAGAGGTAGAATACACATTTAAACTGAACGGTCTGATTTTTGAAATGTTATTATATTTACCCACCCCATCACTGCATTCTGAAAGATGAACACCAGTTGACACAAATAACCAATAAACCGATTGTAAAGTCTGGCGGAAAGTTCCGATTATTCTTTCCCCTTCTGGCCTTTAGTCTTGTTCCAGAATTTGTGTTTTGCATGCAAATCCATTTTTACAGATCTGCCTTATTTGTATGCAGACTGTTAGTTCCTCGCTTTTTAGGCAAATGCACTCCGACTTCAAAGGAAACTTCTTAATTAGTAGACTTTTACTGCCTTCATTATTATGTGCAGTATGTCTGTCCCGCCCCTCCCCCCTCCCACACACACACAATAGGACCCCAGCACTCACACATAAACTTGCTGCCTAATATGTCATAAATTAATATTGCTGCGAATTGAACGAAGTGGAAGAAAGACTGCAAGCTCTATGTGACGTGCAAATGGCACAACAGCACAACCATGAAGCTATCGTCATCAGATTTGTATGAGGTTCTTTTCCCATGTACCCGATGCGCCTAAAGGTGTGAAAAAGGATCTTTACTTTACTAATATAATACATGGAGGAAGATATATAATTATAACACATGGAAGGAGATATATCATTATAACACATGGAAGGAGATTTATCATTAAAAGACATGGAAGGAGATATATCATTAAAAGACATGGAAGGAGATATATCATTATAACACATGGAAAAAGATATATCATTATAACACATGGAAGAAGATATATCATTATAACACATGGAAGGAGATATATCTTATGATTATAACCACTAGAAGAAGATACATCTTCTTATGACTCTTGTAGGATATGTCTTAATATTGTAATACTTGTTAGATATTATATTTTATTATTATAACATTCACTCCCTTCTGATGATAGCAGCTGGAGCGAGACAGAGAGATTCAATAAAAAGATGAATTTTATGAGCCAGTGAAAGTATAAAACCTGACAACACATCATACCAAGCTACAGAAAGCCACTGACAGTATGAGACCTGACAATATAACGTCATACCAACCCACAGAGAGCCACTGACAGTATGAGACCTGACCACATCACATCATACCAAGCCACAGAGAGCCACTGACAGTATGAGACCTGACAACATCATATCATACCAAGCCACAGAGAGCCACTGACAGTATGAGACCTGACAACATCACATCATACCAAGCTACGGAGAGCCACTGACAGTATGAGACCTGACAACATCATATCATACCAAGCTACAGAGAGCCACTTACAGTATGAGACCTCACAACATCATATCATACCAAGCCACAGAGAGGCACTGACAATCTGAGACCTGACAATATCATATAATACCAAGCCACAGAGAGATACTGACAATCTGAGACCTGACAACATCACATCATACCAAGCCACAGAGAGCCACTGACAATCTGAGACCTGACAACATAACATCATACCAAGCCACAGAGAGCCACTGACAATCTGAGACCTGACAACATCACATCATACCAAGCAACAGAGAGATACTGACAATCTGAGACCTGACAACATCATATCATACCAAGCCACAGAGAGCCACTGACAGTATGAGACCTGACAACATCATATCATACCAAGCTACAGAGAGCCACTGACAGTATGAGACCTGACAACATCACACCATTCCAAGCCACAGAGAGCCACTGACAGTATGAGACCTGACAACATCACACCATACCAAGCCACAAAAAGCTACTGACAGTCTGAGACCTGACAACATCATATCATACCAAGCCACAGAGAGCCACTGACAGTATGAGACCTGACAACATCACATCATACCAAGCCACAGAGAGCCACTGACAGTATGAGACCTGACAACATCATATCATACCAAGCTACAGAGAGCCACTGACAGTATGAGACCTGACAACATCATATCATACCAAGCTACAGAGAGCCACTGACAGTATGAGACCTGACAACATAATATCATACCAAGCCACAGAGAGCCACTAACAGTATGAGACCTGACAACATCACATCATACCAAGCTACAGAGAGCCACTAACAGTATGAGACCTGACAACATCACATCATACCAAGCTACAGAGAGCCACTGACAGTATGAGACCTGACAACATCATATCATACCAAGCCACAGAGAGCCACTGACAGTATGTGACCTGACAACATCACATCATACCAAGCCACAGAGAGCCACTGACAATCTGAGACCTGACAACATCACATCATACCAAGCCACAGACAGCCACTGACAATCTGAGACCTGACAACATCACATCATACCAAGCCACAGAGAGCCACTGACAGTATGAGACCTGACAACATTACACCATACCAAGCCACAGAGAGATACTGACAGTATGAGACCTGACAACATCACACCATACCAAGCCACAGACAGCCACTGACAGTCTGAGACCTGACAACATCACATCATACCAAGCCACAGAGAGCCACTGACAGTATGAGACCTGACAACATCACATCATACCAAGCCACAGAGAGCCACTGACAATCTGAGACCTGACAACATCACATCATACCAAGCCACAGAGAGCCACTGACAGTTTGAGACCTGACAACATCATATCATACCAAGCCACAGAGATCCACTGACAGTATGAGACCTGACAACATAACGTCATTCCAAGCCACAGACAGCCACTGACAGTATGAGACCTGACAACATCATATCATACCAAGCCACAGAGAGCCACTGACAGTATGAGACCTGACAACATCATATCATACCAAGCAACAGAGAGCCACTGACAATCTGAGACCTGACAATATAATATCATACCAAGCCACAGAGAGCCACTGACAATCTGAGACCTGACAACATCACATCATACCAAGCAACAGAGAGCCACTGACAGTCTGAGACCTGACAACATCTCATCATATCAAGCCACAGAGAGCCACTGACAATCTGAGACCTGACAACATCATATCATACCAAGCTACAGAGAGATACTGACAGTATGAGACCTGACAATATCACATCATACCAAGCAACAGAGAGATACTGACAATCTGAGACCTGACAACATCATATCATACCAAGCCACAGAGAGCCACTGACAGTATGAGACCTGACAACATCACACCATACCAAGCCACAGAGAGCCACTGACAATCTGAGACCTGACAACATCATATCATACCAAGCCACAGAGAGCCACTGACAATCTGAGACCTGACAACATCACATCATACCAAGCCACAGACAGCCACTGACAGTATGAGACCTGACAAAATCATATCATACCAAGCTACAGAGAGCCACTGACAGTATGAGACCTGACAACATCACACCATACCAAGCTACAGAGAGCCACTCACAATCTGAGACCTGACAACATCATATCATACCAAGCCACAGAGAGCCACTGACAGTATGAGACCTGACAACATCATATCATACCAAGCCACAGAGAGCCTCTGACAGTATGAGACCTGACAACATCATATCATACCAAGCTACAGAGAGCCACTGACAGTATGAGACCTGACAACATCACATCATACCAAGCCACAGAGAGCCACTGACAGTATGAGACCTGACAACATCATATCATACCAAGCTACATTGAGCCACTGACAGTATGAGACCTGACAACATCATATCATACCAAGCCACAGAGAGCCTCTGACAGTATGAGACCTGACAACATCATATCATACCAAGCCACAGAGAGCCACTGACAGTATGAGACCTGAAAACATCATATCATACCAAGCTACAGAGAGCCTCTGACAGTATGAGACCTGACAACATCACAACATACCAAGCCACAGAGAGCCACTGACAGTATGAGACCTGACAACATCATATCATACCAAGCCACAGAGAGCCACTGACAGTATGAGACCTGACAACATCATATCATACCAAGCCACAGAGATCCACTGACAGTATGAGACCTGACAACATAACGTCATTCCAAGCCACAGACAGCCACTGACAGTATGAGACCTGACAACATCATATCATACCAAGCCACAGAGAGCCACTGACAGTATGAAACCTGACAACATCATATCATACCAAGCAACAGAGAGCCACTGACAATCTGAGACCTGACAATATAATATCATACCAAGCCACAGAGAGCCACTGACAATCTGAGACCTGACAACATCACATCATACCAAGCCACAGAGAGCCACTGACAGTCTGAGACCTGACAACATTTCATCATATCAAGCCACAGAGAGCCACTGACAATCTGAGACCTGACAACATCATATCATACCAAGCTACAGAGAGATACTGACAGTATGAGACCTGACAATATCACATCATACCAAGCAACAGAGAGATACTGACAATCTGAGACCTGACAACATCATATCATACCAAGCCACAGAGAGCCACTGACAGTATGAGACCTGACAACATCACACCATACCAAGCCACAGAGAGCCACTGACAATCTGAGACCTGACAACATCATATCATACCAAGCCACAGAGAGCCACTGACAATCTGAGACCTGACAACATCACATCATACCAAGCCACAGACAGCCACTGACAGTATGAGACCTGACAACATCATATCATACCAAGCTACAGAGAGCCACTGACAGTATGAGACCTGACAACATCACACCATACCAAGCTACAGAGAGCCACTCACAATCTGAGACCTGACAACATCATATCATACCAAGCCACAGAGAGCCACTGACAGTATGAGACCTGACAACATCATATCATACCAAGCCACAGAGAGCCACTAACAGTATGAGACCTGACAACAGCACATCATACCAAGCTACAGAGAGCCACTGACAGTGTGAGACCTGACAACATCATATCATACCAAGCCACAGAGAGCCACTGACAGTATGAGACCTGACAACATCATATCATACCAAGCCACAGAGAGCCACTGACAGTATGAGACCTGACAACATCACATCATACCAAGCCACAGAGAGCCACTGACAATCTGAGACCTGACAACATCACATCATACCAAGCCACAGAGAGCCACTGACAATCTGAGACCTGACAACATCACATCATACCAAGCCACAGAGAGCCACTGACAGTATGAGACCTGACAACATTACACCATACCAAGCCACAGAGAGATACTGACAGTATGAGACCTGACAACATCACACCATACCAAGCCACAGACAGCCACTGACAGTCTGAGACCTGACAACATCACATCATACCAAGCCACAGAGAGCCACTGACAGTATGAGACCTGACAACATCATATCATACCAAGCCACAGAGAGCCACTGACAGTATGAGACCTGACAACATCATATCATACCAAGCCACAGAGAGCCACTGACAGTATGAGACCTGACAACATAACGTCATACCAAGCCACAGAGAGCCACTGACAGTATGAGACCTGACAACATCATATCATACCAAGCCACAGAGAGCCACTGACAGTATGAGACCTGACAACATCATATCATACCAAGCTTCAGAGAGCCATTGACAGTATGAGACCTGACAACATCACACCATACCAAGCCACAGAGAGCCACTGACAGTATGAGACCTGACAACATCATATCATACCAAGCTACAGAGAGCGACTGAGTGTATGAGACCTGACAACATCACACCATACCAAGCCACAGATTACCACTGACAGTATGAGACCTGACAACATCATATCATACCAAGCCACAGAGAGCCACTGACAGTATGAGACCTGACAACATCATATCATACCAAGCCACAGAGAGCCACTGACAGTATGAGACCTGACAACATCATATCATACCAAGCCACAGAGAGCCTCTGACAGTATGAGACCTGACAACATCATATCATACCAAGCTACAGAGAGCCACTGACAGTATGAGACCTGACAACATCACACCATACCAAGCTACAGAGAGCCACTCACAATCTGAGACCTGACAACATCACATCATACCAAGCCACAGAGAGCCACTGACAGTATGAGACCTGACAACATCATATCATACCAAGCTACAGAGAGCCTCTGACAGTATGAGACCTGACAACATCATATCATACCAAGCTACAGAGAGCCACTGACAGTATGAGACCTGACAACATCACATCATACCAAGCCACAGAGAGCCACTGACAGTATGAGACCTGACAACATCATATCATACCAAGCTACATTGAGCCACTGACAGTATGAGACCTGACAACATCATATCATACCAAGCCACAGAGAGCCACTGACAGTATGAGACCTGACAACATAACGTCATACCAAGCAACAGAGAGCCACTGACAGTATGAGACCTGACAACATCATATCATACCAAGCAACAGAGAGCCACTGACAATCTGAGACCTGACAACATCATATCATACCAAGCCACAGAGAGCCACTGACAATCTGAGACCTGACAACATCATATCATACCAAGCAACAGAGAGCCACTGACAGTATGAGACCTGACAACATCATATCATACCAAGCCACAGAGAGCCACTGACAATCTGAGACCTGACAACATCATATCATACCAAGCCACAGAGAGCCACTGACAGTATGAGACCTGACAACATCATATCATACCAAGCAACAGAGAGATACTGACAATCTGAGACCTGACAACATCATATCATACCAAGCTACAGAGAGCCACTGACAGTATGAGACCTGACAACATCATATCATACCAAGCCACAGAGAGCCACTGACAGTATGAGACCTGACAACATCATATCATACCAAGCCACAGAGAGCCACTGACAGTATGAGACCTGACAACATCATATCATACCAAGCAACGGAGAGATACTGACAATCTGAGACCTGACAACATCATATCATACCAAGCCACAGAGAGCCACTGACAGTATGAGACCTGACAACATCATATCATACCAAGCCACAGAGAGCCACTGACAATCTGAGACCTGACAACTTCATATCATACCAAGCCACAGAGAGCCACTGACAGTATGAGACCTGACAACATCATATCATACCAAGCTACAGAGAGCCACTGACAGTATGAGACCTGACAACATCATATCATACCAAGCCACAGAGAGCCACTAACAGTATGAGACCTGACAACATCACATCATACCAAGCTACAGAGAGCCACTGACAGTATGAGACCTGACAACGGTGATGGAGGGTACAGTTTTTGGAAAACAACGCAGAGACCAACCAACCTTCACGAAGTGGATACAAGACACTGATGATGCGTTGGCTAAGGAAAGCACATAGGGCTGGAGAATTGTCTAGAGCCTGTATACTTTTAAGCATGCCGAGACGAGAGCGATATTCTCCAAAGGACCTGCTGATTGATGATGATGATAATGATAATGATAGCTTACGGACTTGTCCATGATATCTCTCATCTCCATTAGTTCTTCCCTCAGTTCCAGAACTGTTTTCACCATAGTGTTAACTCGCTCATCATGCTCTAGTATTGGCCGATTCGCAGCCTCCTAGAGAATAAAACCAGCTATTAGAAGAAAGGACTCCTGATATTATTACCAAGCCCTGACTGGAAGAAAAGAATCCTGATATAAGTACTTAGTCGTTGGAAAAAAGGAGTTCTTGTTAGGATGCTTAGTCGTCAGAGCAAAAGGACTAGTAGAAGATTAAATAACTGTATCTTTTTTTTTTACATTTCTCTCTCTCTCTCTCTCTCTCTCTCTCTCTCTCTCTCTCTCTCTCTCTCTCTCTCTCTCTCTCTCTCTCTCTCTCTCTCTCCTCTCTCTCTTGTTGTACCCCACCAGGACATCACACAAGCGACAATCACCCAGTGACACAAAGTGCCACCGTGCGGATGAGAATCACCAGTGGAGAGATCCCAGAAACCCCTTGTCAGTTCAGTAAAGGTTTGGTGACACGAAAACGACAACACTACTTTGTTATATCATCTACTGTATAAATACAAATCTTTACAGTTTAAAGTTAGTCAGCTAGTTAGTTAATCGACAGATTATCCTCACTGCACATCGGACAAGCCCATAAGCGCTTGGATCCCATCTTAAGTATATCCATCAGCGTGTGGCGACTGATAACTCCAGTTCTGTGTTGGTTTACTATACTTCTTTGGCTACCCGTATAGTGTTCAAGTGTGGCGACACCACTTTTGACCTGAAGTTCTTGTAGTCTCTTGAGTGCTGCCGATTCATCATCGTCTCCTGCATCATCTTCCCGTCCCGCCTCCTTGAGAGCATTGAGAATATCGGCCTGGTTCATTGCTTTTCCTGTACCTTCTGTGGCCCTGCTAGCAATCCAAGTCGCTCTTTCATTCCTCCTTACCCCAGAGTGTCTTCGCGCGCGTGCGCACACAAACACACATACACACACAGACACACCCACAGACACACACACACAGACACACCCACAGACACACACACAGACACACACACAGACACACACACACACACACACACACAGACACACACAGACACACACAGACACACACAGACACACACAGACACACACAGACACACACAGACACACACAGAAACACACAGACAGACACACACAGACAGACACACACAGACAGACACACACAGACAGGCACACACAGACAGGCACACACAGACAGACACAGACAGACAGACACAGACAGACAGACACAGACAGACACAGACAGACAGACACAGACAGACACAGACAGACAGACACAGACAGACAGACAGACAGACACAGACAGACAGACACAGACAGACAGACACAGACTGACACAGAGAGACACAGACAGACACAGACAGACAGACAGACAGACACAGACAGACAGACAGACACAGACAGACACAGACAGACACAGACACAGACGGACAGACACAGACAGACAGACACAGACAGACAGACACAGTCAGACAGACACAGACAGACAGACACAGACAGACACAGACAGACAGAGACAGACAGACACACACAGACAGACAGACAGACACACACAGACACACACAGACAGACAGACACAGACAGACAGACACAGACAGACACACACAGACAGACAGACACAGACAGACACAGACAGACAGACACAGACAGACAGACACAGACAGACAGACACAGACAGACAGACACAGACAGACAGACACACACAGACAGACACACACAGACAGACACACACAGACAGACACACACAGACAGACACACACAGACAGACAGACAGACAGACAGACACAGACAGACAGACACAGACAGACAGACACAGACAGACACACACAGACAGACAGACACAGACAGACACAGACAGACAGACACAGACAGACAGACACAGACAGACAGACACAGACAGACAGACACAGACAGACAGACACACACAGACAGACACAGACAGACAGACACACACAGACAGACACACACAGACAGACACACACAGACAGACATACACACAGACAGACACACACAGACAGACACACACAGACAGACACACACAGACAGACACACACAGACAGACATACACACAGACAGACACACACAGACAGACACACACAGACAGACACACACACACAGACAGACACACACAGACACACACAGACAGACACACACAGACAGACACACACAGACAGACACACACAGACAGACACACACACAGACAGACACACACAGACAGACACACACAGACAGACGCACACAGACAGACACACACAGACAGACACACACAGAGACAGACACACACACAGACAGACACACACACAGACAGACACACACACAGACAGACACACACACACAGACAGACACGCACACAGACAGACACGCACACAGACACACACACACACACACACAGACACACACACACAGACACACACACACAGACACACACACACACAGACACACACACACAGACACACACACAGACACACACGCACACAGACACACACACACACACACACAGACACACACACAGACACACACACACAGACACACACACACAGACACACACACAGACACACACACACAGACACACACACACACAGACACACACACACAGACACACACACACACACACAGACACACACACACAGAGACACACACACAGACACACACACAGACACACACACACAGACACAGACACACACACAGACACACACATACAGACACACACACACACAGACACACACACAGACACACACACACAGACACTCACACACAGAAACACACACACAGACACACACACAGACACACAGACACACACAGACACACACACAGACACACACACACAGACACACACACACAGACACACACACAGACACACACACAGACACACACACAGACAAACACACACACACACACAGAGACACACACACACAGACACACACACACAGACACACACAGACACACACACACAGACACACACAGACACACACACAGACACACACACAGACACACACACACAGACACACACACACACAGACACACACACACACACAGACACAGACACACACAGATACAGACACACACAGACACACACACAGACACACACACACACACAGACACACACACAGACACACACACAGACACACACACAGACACACACACAGACACAGACACACACACAGACACACAGACACAGACACACACACAGACACACACACAGACACACACAGACACACACACACAGACACAGAGACACACACAGACACACACTCAGACACACACACACACAGACACACACACACCGACACACACACACAGACAGACACACACAGACAGACGCACACAGACAGACACACACAGACAGACACACACAGACACACACACACAGACACACACACACAGACAGACACACACACAGACAGACACACACACACACACACACACACACACAACTAAATTCTTTCAGACGAGATTTACTCAGCGACTCCAACAATTTTTATAGCTCAGTGGCAGTACTTACCATAGGACTACCGTTCGTGGTGTGTGGGGATTTGGTCAGACCAAAGGAACCAATGTAAGGGTATTTAGTCGCAGGATCAAGGACCATGTTTTGCATAATACAACGTAAAGTGCGATAAGAAAGCTTGACGGAGGGAATGGAAAAGACAAACTCCACCGAACGTTCTGACAGAAGTCTTTATCGGCAAAGTGCTTAATACGTTTAAAAAAAAAATATTTCTTGAAGTCACGTTGACCTTGGTTGCTTTAAAAATACATTTTGTCTTGTCCATTGAGTTTCCGGGCACAGTTTGTGTTGTATTTAGTACTCCGTTGATGCAGATTTCGTTTTAACTTTTCCAGTCGCATTTCATGCGGTATTTAGCACTTTTTGTCATCAGCCCGACGACTGTCATCCCCCTATTAATGGCAGCAAACATGTATGGGTCAGAACATTGTGTGGGTACTTAGCGTCGAAATAAAGACCCCAATTTGTGGGTACACTTCGTCATTGGAACGAAAAAGCCCGGTTACAGGTAATTAGTCGTCGAATCAAAGAAACCCGCGTATGCGTACTTAGTTGTTAGAACGAAAGGCCCTTTGAATGGATACCTAGTTGGCGGAAAATAAGACGTCTTTCAGAGGTCTTCTTGGCGAAGTTTTGAACCCTATGCCGCGCGTCCTGAAAGTCGTGGAATCGTTTCACAGCTACGTCGTTCAGTTCACGAGTGGAATTCTTACAGAGATTCCCCTTGATCGTCGTCGAAGCTACGGAGTTCGTTCGTTTTTTGTGTGCGATGCTCTAGGCAGGTGGCTAGCAGCTCTGCGGAGAGAGACGGAGCCATATGGGCGTAAAATTCGGTGCAATGAAGTGGATCATCTCGACTCTAACTTGTAACTTTAATAAAAGGCCACATGTATATGTATTTAGTTACCTAAGATAGGAACTCGCGCATAGCAAGTCGTTGGAACAAACGAGATATAAATATCAATAACGATGTAAATGAAACAATGCAACTTTCATGTCAACAGTTTTGACTTTTCTAATTTTAGTAAAATGGTTACTAATTAGTATCATGCAATGAATGTATTAGATCCAAAGACTTTGGGCATGCACTAGAGAATTGTATGCACTGGTGTTCAGGTCGCTAGTCTCACAAATGGATTGCGACTTTTGGAGTGAGCTGCGTGTAGAAACCCAACTTCAAAGGCACTTAACTTCACCATTTGGATGAGAAATCCACTAGGCGCTAGTCCATGAAAACTCTTTAGGGCCTGGGGCGACAACCGGGGTGGGCTTGAATGTTGAATCAAGAATCGACATTACAGCACTCGGGACACTCCCACAAGTGCTCAGTCTCCATCTTCAGCAGCAAGCGAAGAGTGCCAATTCCGATAGTACCAGTAACCGTCTGATTGTATATCCGTCTCATCCTTTCCCTGAGTGTTGAGCGTCGGCCAGATCCCCTGGTAACTCCTCGCAGCGCCATTCTCCTCAGACTGTAATGATCTATCTGCACCTCCGCTCCGTTCACTCGCTCCCAAAAGACACTCACAATATCTAACTTGTCATACATCAATTCACCACCAAGTGGTGGAGAGCCAGCCAGTCTATCTGCCTACTAATTTCCGAACACACCGGCATGACCTGGAGAAAATATCCAAAGGATGCTAACTATCCATGACCTCTGAAGTGATACTTGCCACTATGCACGAAGCATGCCTGTTTTGGGGTGGAGCTTTAAAATAACTAAAATGGGTATTTTATTTTGGGACGGGATTTAACAATCGGTAGAACTTGGATTAGGTGAATTGATGGTAATGGCAGATTAGTTAAAATACGCAGACACAACAAATGAATCACCTTTTGTGTTGCTTGAGCTTTGAGAGTGGCAACATCCGCCTGCAATGCATGCTGAAAATTGAGTAACAAAACACCCATGCTAAGACTGGCGTGATCAAAAATAGGGAGTACCCCTAAATATCTCTCCAAACATGGTTAGAAATGAGTAAAAGTAACAGATTCTTTCCTCGCCTTTATCCCTACTGGGCATATACGGCTAGAGCTATATTTTAAAGAGCAATCAAGCGGCACTTGTTGGTTGATGTAGTCAGCATTATGTCAGCCGCCTTTACTTCCCAGGACTGTACCTGGTATCCACACAAGGCTGGTCAACCAGGCAGCCAATATTATTTTTTTTGGGGGGGGGGGGGGATCTGCTCCACCAGGATCCGAATTCTCGACATTCCGAACCCCAGGCGAGTGTTTAGCAGCTACACCACAGCCACTCCATATACCCTAGGGAAAGCAAAATAATTCTTCAGACAGCGACCTTTAGTGTGCACGTCTAAGGCTGTAGCTTAGTGATTAATGCCCTTTCTTACCATGACTATATTTATTGTGTATGGTATTTTTTTTTTCTCACACTATCACAGATCTAATAGCACAACTATAAGGTTGAACAGGATTATTGGATGTGTAACTTTTAGGTTATCCTCCTTGACCAGTTAATCCTAAACAAATACAAAACTGGAAGGGTCACAATTTTTTGTTAAAAACAAACAACAACAAAAAGTGCTTATGAAAGAACACCGGTTGAAATTGTTTGGTCATTCGACATCTAACAATGGGTGCTAACTGTCATGTGCTAGCGGGAAGAAATAAGCCGGAAAAACACAGAAGTAGGGGAAATAAAGTTAAATTGTGATTAGTACAAAATGTAATAGTCCCCCACTAAAGAGCAAAAACCGGAAAGTTAAGAAAAGACAGGGGTTCTTCTGCGCAGAGATCCTAGAATATTTCACTAAGACCAAGACAAAGAAAATATAAATCGTGAGTTACATGACAAAAGCCTAACTACATGGCTACAAACACCTAGACGAACCATGTGCACAGACTACAGATCCTAAATTAAATTAGGCAAATGAATTATAATCATCACATTAAATGGCTGTTTATTTTACTTAACTGAACACAGAATTAACGTATATTTCACAAAAAAATACATCAACAACAACCAACGTGTTTGACCAGAGGCAGAATTGAAAGTGCTAATCATCTCCAGCTAACAAGGAAATATGATAATGGACCATAAGCTCATGTAGATTACCACAACAATGGCAAAAACCGAAACATATTTAACGTGTACGTTAAGCTTCAATATGCCACCAGACTAACAAATCACTTGTGGTGACCTGCCATCCTAGCGAGAATTCACACCGACTTATCTCTAGAGTTTAACCACTAGAGACATTTTAGGGCTAACTATGGAAACATACGACCACCGCGAAATCAGCCTGACAACCCGCTTTTTCCTGCAGTCGCCCGTACCCATGCTGGCTAGCCCAATGTGCAGAGCCACAACAGCTGGGTAGGTCTCTTACAGGGTCCGTCCAGAAGTCAAATAGACCCAAATAGCGAGTGAGCTGGTCTTTTTTATACACAGTGGCCAGACTTTTCCCCTTTCGTAAACCAGGTTAAATAAAAGTATCGGCCAAACAAACCAAAATCAACAATCTGCTCAACGGCAGTCTTTTGCGCTCTCCAGCCTATCACAGTCACATAAAGCTACAATGAAGAAATCATATGAAAACAGGGTAAATAAAAGGCGGCGTAAGTCATGGAAAGACATCGCCATGAACAACTTTAGAGAAATGAAGATTATGTCTTGTTCATTCTTCTCAATTTCATAGATGGAATCAAGCCTGACTTCTTTGGCTAGCGATTATCTATACTCTAAAAATGGTGCCATAATCCTTCTGTCAGTGTTTCGTGTGGGTATGGGACGGTGTATTATGGAATAGTGACGGTCCATTTTTATACTTGGATGACCGATAGTTGACCATAGTCTAGACAGATAGAATAGTGACGGTCAGTGGTTGTACTTGGTTGACCGATAGTTGACCCACAGGGAAGCCTGATAAATTCACGACAGCAGTAAATCGTGACTGAGTGAACACTTCGCTTGCGTATGCCCGAGTTCTGCATGGATTGGACTGAGTTGTGGGACGGTGACAAACACCACCTGTAAGATCGGACAGTGGACAGTGGACTGACGGACTTGGGACATCTGCATCTGATAGCGTGACGATTTAGAATTCTAGTGTGTCGCAGTTAAATTTTAGCGACCGATTGCTTGTGATAAAGTGTTTAGGCTGGTTAAAGTAGTCCCTCTGTGTTGTATAGCGTTTAACCGAGATTGTGTTATGTTTAATGTATTAATAAGTAGTTTTTGAGGTATTCTGATAGCCAAGGATGGTTCGGACTGGCTGTTGTGATATTATCTATCCTTGCAAACTGTTCCCTACACTTGGTAGCTATTGCGTGATCCCGGTGGAGTCAACTGGCAGAGGAAAAACGCTTATCAAGAGCGGTGTTGGTTTCGACTTGAGTATTATCCATAGGGACGGGAAGGCGTGCATGGTGATTTTTAAAGTTATCTCTGTCTGCGTTTCGGATGAGGGGCCCACATCTTTTGACGTCAACTACCTGATGTTAGCCTGTGCTTTACATTACAGATTAATGTGTGTCTCGGAGCAGAACCAAACTATTAGTAAACACTGAGGTCTCATGTGTACTTCAAAACATGCTAGCTGGACACCCCTTGCCTTTTACTGTATAGACAGATAAGGTATTATGCATAGGCAGAAAGCCAAGCAGGCTGACACATTGAATAGACAAACAGATAAATAAAATCCAACCGACAACTGCGGCACATACCAGTAACTCCATAATTTGCTCTTTCTCGTCCATGATGGCAATTTTGTTGTAAATGATTGGCCGTGTCCTCTGACTACTCAACAAGTCCTACCCTCCACAGGGACAGATTCTCCCTGAAAAACAGCAAAACTATGTAAACAACTTATAACAGCCCATACATTTAACAAAAATATGATTGCAACAAGTGGGCAGGATGGAGGAAGGCTCTTCAGTAAGACGATGCATTTTTTTTTTTTTGAAAACTAGCATTTTCGAATGCAAAAGAACGGTTTAATTAGGTCATAACAACGCATAATGCACTGAGTGGTATCGAAAGAGTTAATTGCAGTGCGTGAATTTGTGTGCTTTAAAAAAAACATTTGACAAAAAAATCCAGAGAATATCAGAGATGCACAGATAAACGATGGTGGATGTTGTAAGGCAGAGACAAGAAATAATGTTATTGATACAACTGGTCCACTGCACCAGGCGGTGTGGAGAGTCATTAATGCTTATGGCAAATCGAGGCACAGGATGATAATGATAAGTGGATGGTGTAAATTTAGATAGAAGCTTGAAGGTGGAGGAGGAGGAGGAGGAGGAGGAGAAGAAAAGAAGAAGAAGATGAAGAAGAAGAAGAAGAAGAAGAAGAAGAAGAAGAAGAAGAAGAAGAAGAAGAAGAAGAAGAAGAAGAAGAAGAAGAACAAGAAGAAGAACAAGAAGAACAAGAAGAACAAGAACAAGAGTAAGAAAAATAAGAAAAATAAGAAGAAGAAGAAGAAAAAGAAGAAGAAGAAGAAGAAGAAGAAGAAGAAGAAGAAGAAGAAGAAGAAGAAGAAGAAGAAGAAGAAGAAGAAGAAGAAGAAGAAGAAGAAGAAGCCGAATAGAGAGGAAGAGGGAGATGACGATGATAAAGATAATAATAATGATGAACAAGATGAAATTAAATAGATAGAAAGAATTGTTATAGAAGATTATTCCTATTAGTCAACCTTTCAAGAAACTGCGACAATCGTGCCCGTCACAAAATCTTATAACAGTAAGATGTTCAATTCATTTTAGTAGATGATGTCTATGTTCTGTTGTCTATCACTCAGAGAGGGTAAACACAATCGGTTGTTTGCCATACACAACATAGGCGCTCGGTGTCACTTCCTTCCGGTCTGCTATGACGTCATGTAACTTTTCTTTTCATTAGCTTGTTGAGTAGT